CTCACAGGAGCCAGGCGAGCCTTCCACCACTGAGTTACACCCTTGCCCCTCTCCCTTACTTGTTTTTTCTTCCTCCCTCCCTCCCTCCCTCCCTCCCTCCCTCTAGTCAAATCCCGCCTCTGGCCAAAGTGTCTGCTCCCAGGGCCGTTTGCCAGCTAAATACAAGCAGACACTGGCCAAGGAGGGCCCGAGAGTTCTGAAGAGAGGGCGGCTCACGAACGAACGAAGCCGGAGTCCAGCTTTCTGCCTGGAGAGACACTTGAGGTTGTTACATGGGGCCGGATCCCAGCAGAGCGTGTGGCTTCCCCCGTGAAGAGACAGGGGTGGAAGCCTGTGGGGGTGAAACCCTCAAGAGTCACTCACTTAACAGTGCCACAGATTGGCACAGGGGACTCGTCGGGTGAGAAACCGAACGCCAAGTTGCTCAGGCATTGGGCAACCTGCTACAAAGCTCTGGCAGAGCACAGCCACGGGGTGGCACGAGCCAAGTCATTCCAGGAGTTCTTCTGGGTCTGGGGACGTTCAAGTTCTAGCAAGTAGACCAGGAGCGACGGGTGAAAACAGCGGAGGCATTTCCTGGAGACCACAATGAGGCTAGACCTTGGTGGCAAGGTTAAAACAGCCTTGGGGCTGCGGGGGGGGGGTGGGGGGGGACGGGACGGGGACGACATACGTCTCTAAATCGAACACAACAAAAGAAATAAGCCTTGGAAAGCCAATTCGACTACCTGCCTGAACAAAACTTCTGAGGAAAACAGCCAAACCAGGTGTTCCGTGGTGTGACGCTCACGGTGTCCAGCGCTGGTGGAAATGGCTGAACCACCCGGAGAGGCGCAGAAGTGTGCCCCCTACAGAGAGCATCGTCAGGCAATACCCACAGTGGCCAAATGCCCAGAGCCACTGAACGGGGGGGGGGGGGGGGAGGCTGTGGAACGGTTTCATAAATAAAGCCAGAGATATGAAGAAGAGGGAGATGGGGAGATGTCGCAGTCAAGTGTTTGCTGGGCAAGCAGGAGGACCGAGTTCGATTCCCAGCTGCCCTGTAAAAGTAGGATGTTGTTCTGGCTAGTCTTACGTCAACTTGTTCCAAAGCTACAGTCATTACAGAGGAGGGAGCCTCAACTGAGAAAATGACTCCGTGAGATCAGGTGGTAGACAAGCCCATACGGTACTTTCTTAGTTGGTGACCGATGGAGGAGGGCCCAGCCCATGGTGGGTGGTGCCGTCCCTGGGTTCTACAAGAAAGCAGGCTGAGCAAGCCAGTAAGCAGCACCCCTCCATGGCCTCTGCATCAGCTCCTGCCTCCAGGTCCCCCCTCCCCCAACTTGAGTTCCCGCCCTGACTTTTTTCAGTGATGAACAGTCCTGTGGAAGTGTGAGCCAAATCAACCCTTTCCTCCCCCAAGTTGCTTTGGTCACGGTGTTTCATCGCGGCAATTGTAAGCCCAACCGAGACAGACGTGGTTCCACAGCTCTGCAATCCCAAGGCTGGGGAGATGATACAGGAGGATCTCCGGGGCTCACAAGCTAGCCAGACTAGTTGAATCAGCGAGCTCCAGGCTCAGTGACTCTGTCTCGGAGGCTGGAGAGATGGAGCAGAGCTTAGGAGCTTTTACTGGTCTTCCAAAGGACCCGAGTTCTGTTGTCAACCCCTCCATTTATCGGTTCACAACCACCTGTAACTCCAGCTCTGGAGGGATCCAATGACTGACCGCCTCACATCATATACACGTTATTAAAGATAAATAAAAATATATCTTTAAAAAGAAAGTGGAGGAAAGCAACTGAAGACACTGGATGTCCACATGTAGGTGCCCGCGCGCGCGCACGCGCGCACACACACACACACACACCCCACACGGAGTGGAGAGTGTTTAAAAATAAAGAAGAGGAAGAGGAAGAAAAGGAAGAGGGGAAGGCACCAATCGGAACCTCTAGAGATGAAAGTCAATATTTTTTAAAAATTCATTAGTTTAATAGCACATTAAAGGCTGCAAAAGAAAATTATCAATACATTTAACGCCATGGCAGGTATCATTCCAAATGAAGAACAAGGAGGGAAAAAAGATACACAAGGAGGAAAAGATACAAACACAGAAATAAAAGACGCCAGTACCAAGTGGGGTGGGTGGTGCCTCATGGGTAAGGTGCTTGCTACAGAGGCATCGCCACTGGGAACTCTGGGAGAGTCTCATGTTAGGCACCATGTCACTGGGGAGATCAGTGTTCCCTCACTGGGTCCTTAGTCTCGTGAGTCAAAGCATTTAGGAACAGACTGTTGGAAGCACAAGGAGAATTTTGTTAGAGTTTGAGAGAAAACCACGGTGGGGGGTGGTTGGAAATGTTGACAGCCACTGGGAAGAGGGATGCGGAGGGGAGAGAGAGAGGCCATGCCGTGACGTGGGCAGTTGTTCAGCACACAGAGGTCATGGTGGAAGAGGTCAGGGTCGATGTAGAGAAAGAGCGAGAAACCTCCAAGTGCCGGAGGAAAAACATGTTTAGGCTTCAGCCGTATCCGAAAGAGACGAGAAAAGTCGCTTCGTGAGAGAAGAGGCGTGTGCTGGCACACCAGCGTCTCTCCGTACGTCTGCCCACATCTCTGCCCTCTGCCACCGGACATCCTTCTGCGAGCTCTGACTCCCCCGCTGATAACTCACTCGTGGCAGAGCCCAGAGCAATCGAGTTACCTTTCCCCAATGGTTTCGACATCGGGTCGCTCTGCTCAACTCATTGGGTCTGGGTCACACGCTAGAATCAGAAAGTCCTGACTCTGGCCCCGTCTGGATCACAAGCCTCCCCATCTTGGGTAAGAAGGTTGGAGAGAGATGGTCTCCCAGCACATAGATGCTGAACAGGCAAAACCACAGGCATCTACTACCCCTGCCGCTCAGCACTCAACAGTGAGAGCTGCTGAGCAAGCTGCCTCCAAACACAGCTTGGAGCGCACAGACTCCATCTTTTCTACACTATCAGGAGAACTGTTATTTATGCACAGTCTCATGTAGCCCAGGCTGGCCCCAAACTCACTATGTAGCCAAGGATGACCTTGAACTTCTGAAAACTGCCCCCCTCCCCCGGGACAAAACCCAGGCCTTCCATGCACATGAGGCAGGGCCTCTCCTGAAACTTTCTCAGTATTCCCCAGCACAGAGACAGGACACGGAGAAACAGAGAGGTCGTTTAGCTTGTGCTTGGCCACACAGCAAGTGAGATCCAAACCCACAGCCTGGTTTCTCCGAGGTTCCAGCCTCAGTTATCTCACCTGGCCTGGGGCAGAGACAGGAACTGGCTCCTCCCTGATGCCGGGAATCCTCGATGATGATGTTCCTGCACAGTTCCACCCGGCCTGGCCCATAATGTCTACTGCCCGAGGAAAGAGAATTTTAGGAAAAAAAAAAAAAATGTCGTGCTGCCTCTGTGGGGACTGAGGAAGAGAGCTGGGGGTGGGAGGTGGAGGGTGGCCATGACCCTGAGTTCCTTGTAGCATAGGAAGGAGTCTTTGGAAGTCAGAGACTCATTCTTGGCTGTACCAGCCAGTTGCTACCTCCATCTTTGGCCTTCTCTCTACGTCTATCCTCCACCTCAGTCTCACAAGGACACCTGTCACCGGATTTAGCACTCCCTGGGGAGTTCAGGGGGATCAACAAAGATTGTTTTTTTCCAACTATGGTCCCATTAAATAAGGTCCTGTTCACAGGTTCTGAGAGATTAGGATGTGTGTGTGTGTGTGTGTGTATGTATGATGTCTATGTGTGGAGTGTGTGGTGTGTGGAGTGTGTGGTGTGTGGAGTGTGTGGAGTGTGTGGTGTGTGTGTGGAGTGTGTG